TGAGAGGGGGGATAGCATCCCCCAAAGACAAGCTTTTGGAAAGGGGTATAAATAGGAGTGAAGACCAAGTACATGGCCATGGTCAGAGCTCAGTGTTCAAGGCCAGGACAAGGAAACAAGCAGGCAGAATTCACTTAAAAGTGAGAAGAGCTTTCCTAGATCTCTAACTGACAAGCTCTTGTCTCTAAAAATAATGTCCTGTGTCCCAGACCCATCAAATAAGAGTCTCTGATTTGAAGACCCAAGAATTATTCAGGTGATTCTGGTGCCCAGATTCTGGTACCCATTTGGAAAAGGGTCTCTTTCACTCCTTAAGCTCATTAATTCAGCATGCCCGAGGCAGTATTCAAGGGTCCAGGCTTTGAGGGAGTTAAGCATTCTTAGTACATTTATCCATTCCCTACATCACATTATGACAACCATCACCTACTAGTAACTCCTTTTTATTTTAAGTAAATAAAAATACATAAAATGCCAGCAGCCAGGATGCAAACTAGGTAAGTGAAGGCGGCCTCCTGTACCCAATGCCAGTGCCTCTAGATAAACTACTGGAGTTGTCCAGACTCAGCACAGACTGAGCCCTCATACACCTGTGCAGGCTCACCGTGGCAGAACAGAGGGTCTGGGAGCACTCAGTCATCAAGGTGGCCTTCGAGGAACAGCTCTAAGGCACACAGCACTCAGATCAGGTCCTTCCTGCCCACAGAGTAGGACACTGCAGATCAATGCAGTGCCTGGAAACCCGCCAAGCCAGCTGAGCACTTCTCTTCCCAGATTTCCACTTTGTGGTCAAGTAACAACATGAGCAATCTCAAGCCAAAAATGGCAAAGTAAATGCTGTGGACCACGAAGATGACAGATCGGAGTAAGCTGGTTCCTTGAATGGACCAGCCTAGAGAGAGCCCTTCCCTGACATCACCGGATGCTACCGGGCAACCTTCAAATAGCCCAGTGCCAGAGAAACCAATGGCTGACCAAGGTCAGCCTTCCTAACGGCAGGGCCCAGCAACAATGCACAGTACCCTTCACTAGGATGAGAGTCCCCTTCAACTTGAGGGTTCTTCACTTGAGTCAATGCAAATCTGGAAGAGCACGGGTGGGCAGGAGGCCTAGGAAAACCCAGGATACTAACTGGCCACTTCGGGTGGTCCTCAACTATTAGAAGACCCATTATCCCTACAGAACCATTATAAACTTGCCTAAAACAAGACCTCTCTCTCTCTCTCACACTCACTCATCCAAAAGAAATCACAAGAGTTGCTCCAGGCCCTACCAACTACCTTGAACCATTACCTACCTACCTCATCTATATCCTCATCTCTAGCCCATCCCAAGAATAAAGGACAATACAAGAGGCAGTGAAAGTCACCTTAGCCACCTTTGTTCCTACCAAACATCAATCCAGACCATCCTATCAGCTCTGGACCAATGGGGGCCTCTCTAGTTAAATATCCTCACAGACCATGCACCACTCCATCATGGCACAAAGCACCTACTCATGCTTGCCTTTTTGTTGTTTTTGATGTTTTAAGGGGTCTTTTGTTTGACTGGCTAATCACTATGTCCCAATACACTTCCTTCAAAATCTCCAAGTTGTTTGAAGAATATACCTCAAATTTCATATCTCCCAGCCAAAAGATGATCCAGCCAACCCAACTCCTTAGTCTTACCACTAGCCTCTGAAATCTAAGCAGCCACTAATTAGTCCACTAATTTAGTGAACTTTACGAAGGACTCTGCTTAGAAAGCTAGCGTAGAATTGGAGAAAATCCCCAACTGATCCTGAGGCTAACCAATTCAGAAAGGAAACAAATCAGAGTAATTATCTTTTTATTTCTTTTGTGCAATTTTTTTTGAAATCACACTGCATTATTTAAAGATAACCTTCTAGTATATGCAAAATAAACTATTTTTTTTTTACCTTGAAGAGCACTTCCCTATTTCCCAGAACCAATCTCATTGGGGCCATTCCCAGAGCCACATCCTCAGGACTTAAACGACGTTGAAGCTTCCAATGTGCTCAATGCCAAGGTGGCTCAAGCATCTCTCGCCTCTGGTCCCACTGCCCAGCTGTCCTCCCTTCACACCTCTTGGCAGCGGAAAGTGGGTTTGGAGGAGCTTTTTAAAGTTCTCTTACCCACTCCATAAATTCAGTAGGAGGGAGAATGAATGTTTCCAAGTTTGCTGAATGACACGGAAGTTCATAAAGTAGAATAAAATTAGTTAAAAAATAGGAAAATAATTTTTAGCTCCCCTTTAAAAAAAAAGCACACCTACATTAAATGATTCACGGTGACTTCATACTTTCTTCCTCCCGGGTTTGGTGGTTCTCCCTCTTT